GGACTATAGGCGCCGCGCCGCACCATCCACCCCCCGGCTACGAGTTTTTTTGTATCTTCCGTTAGTAGCAGACGGAAGGTTTTTCAGCGTGTGTTGGGCCCCAGGGCTTGGCTTTGAACGTGCGCCTGAACCGTGCGTCGAAGTGATGCTTGCCACCTCGGGCGTCCGCCAACAGGTGCTGGGATGGGACCATCGCGTGGCCCACCGGCACCGGGCCGGACACGCAGGATGGAATTTTCTACCGTCTGCCCTCTGGGGTAAGGCAACCTCTTAGGCAATTCATGTTTAGGGTTCTGCGGGGGAAAATTCGTGCCAGTTTTTCCCCAGGGCTGGGTGAGGGTGAAGGAATGGCTGGCACTGCAGCGTCAGACTTGGCTCGGGACCAGCGAGCGGACGGCACCGCTCCAGCTCCAAGAAAATAAAATACAAAGCCGTAAGCAATAGTATATATTATAGTTTTGATTTTTTAAAAACGTATATATTATCTTTTTTAAAATATAAATATGATTTTGTTAAAAAACGTATATATGTTGGCGGTATATATGATGATATATTTTTCTTTTTTTTTAGAAAAAAAGGTGGGGGGGTGTCTCAGCGGCCTATAATGCCAGCACTTTGGGAACTGAGCGGTAAATGACACCGAGGTCAGGAGGATAGGAGCCGCATGCCCGTGGCTGACCACATGATCGGAAACCCCGTCTTAGTCCGGGCGTGGGGTGGCGGGGGGCACCTGTAGTCCAGGCTACTCGGAGGCTGAGGCAGGGAGGAAATGGCTTGAACCCAGGGATGGCGGAGGTTGGCAGTGAGCCGAGGATCGCACCACTGCACTCCAGCCCTGGGCGAAAAGAGGGCGGAGACTGGCCGGGTCTAGAAAAGAGAGAAAAAAAAAAAAAAGAAACTTTCCCTTTCACCTCCTCCAACGCCCCTTCACCAGCCCCCCGGGGGTACCACCTGGATGCAGCCCCCACCTCACAGCATCTGCCAGGTGGCCCCAGCACCCATAGCTGGTCCTGCCCATGTACTTTAGCAGGTTGCATTGTGAGGTCGGGCTGACCCTGGTCAGGTAGGCGCTGGACAGCTCTGTGTTTTGATAGAAAGCTGAAACACACAAAAAAGAACAGGGAAAAAGCAGTGAGATTCCGAGTCCCTGCCAGCGGGACGCTCCCCAGCTCACCAACGTGGTGATTTCCACGTGATTCCTGCCTGGGATCGCCAACACCCGCACAGCTGGGCCTTCTGTGGAAGGCACAAAGGTGACCTGGGGCAGCTGTGGCACCCCCGTCGGGTTCGGTTGGGACAAATCCCATCGGGAGTTTTGGGTGGAGGAAGTACAAACACAGTTGAACCATGAGAGGAAACACACATTACATTTCCCCAGTGTCTAAAATAACGTATTGAGGCCGGGCACGGTGGCTCATGCCTGTCATCCCAGCACTTTGGGAGGCCGAGGCAGGTGGATCACCTGAGGTCAGGAGTTTGAGACCAGCCTGGCCAACATGGTGAAACCCTGTCTCTACTAAAAATACAAAAACCAGCCTGGCCAGGTAGCGGGCGCCTGTAATCCCAGCTACTGGGGAGGCTGAGGCGGGAGAATGGCGTGAACCCGGGAGGCGGAGCTTGCAGTGAGCCGAGATCACGCCACTGCACTCCAGCCTGGGAGACACAGCGAGACTCCGTCTCAAAAAAAAAAAAAAAAAAAAAAGAAACCTCATCATGGGAAAAGTGTGCAGAAATCTCATCACAGGAAAAAGAGCATGTGGCACTCTTTTTTTTTTTTTTTTTTGAGATGGAGTCTCACTCTGTCACCCAGGCTGGAGTGCAGTTGCATGGTCTCAAGGTTTTCCCCTTGTACTCCAGCCTTGGGACCGAGTGAAACTCCGTTTCCAAAAAAAAAAAAAGAAAGAAACCCCATCATTCGCGTAATGTCTCTGGCTGTTTTGTGGGTGTGTATGTGGCTTTGTTTTTTGTTCTGTTTTGTTTTGTTTTGACGCAGGACCTTGCTCTGCTGCCCAGGCTGGAGTGTAGCGGTGCGACCATAGCTCACTGAAGCCTCGAACTCTTAGGCTCAAGCAGTCCTCCTGCCTCAGCCTCCTGAGTAGCTGGGACCACAGGCATGTACCACGACTCCCTGTTCATTTTTGTATTATTATTATTATTATTATTATTATTATTATTGTTATTATTTTGAGATGCAGTCTTGCTCAGTTGCCCAGGCTCACCGCAACCTCTGCCTCTCAGGTTCAAGCAATTCTTCTGTCTCAGCTTTCCGAATAGCTGGGACCACAGGTGTGTGTACCACCTCTCCCAGTTAATTTTCCTGTCTTTTTTAGAAATGGGGTCTTGCGACGTGGCCCAGGCTGCTCTCGAACTCCTGGGCTCAAGGAATCCCCCAGCCTGGGCCTCGCACTCTGGTAGCTTTGACGTCCCGAGGGCAGACCTCGGTAGCTACAACACAAACCACATGAACCCCCAAACCTGCAAATACAGATGGAATCTTGCTCTGTCACCCAGGCTGGAGTGCAGGGGTGCGATCTTGGCTTATTGCAACCTCTGCCTCCCGGGTTCACGCCGTTCTCCTGCCTCAGCCTCCCCAGTAGCTGAGAAGACAGGTCCCCATCACCATGCCCGGCTAATGTTTTGTATATTTTTTAGTAGAAATGGGGTTTCGCAGTGTTAGCCGGGATGGAGACGGTCTGGCTTTGTACAGAACACATGGGCTGCAGGGGGTGGCCCGCTTAAAATGCCTCCTTCAAAACACCCGTGTCCTCACCTTTTCCTGCCCTCGTCTCCACTTTCAACAGCTTCAGGGACACGCAGGTGTCCAGCAGGAGCTCTGTCCCGTGGGGGCTGGCCTCCACACCTGCAGCCACTGCTGCCACGTCCAGGGGCCCTGGGGCCTCGGCCAGAAGGTCGAACACCCCCAGCTCGCAAGCGGCGAAGAGAACCTCGGAGGAGGAGCAGAAATAAGAGGTCAGCGCTCAGCCTGACCCTGGGAATCCATAGCCATAGAAACAGCCTATAGCACGCCAGGCTGGGGAGGAACGCATTGTTTTATTTACATTTTTATTCATTTCTTTCTTTCTTTCTTTTTTTGAGACGGAGTCAAATGAGATTGCACCACTATGGAAAACAGGCATTTTTATTTATTTATTTATTTATTTATTTATTTATGTTAATTTATGTATGTATTTTGAGATGACATCCCACTGCATCGCCCAGGCTGGAGTGCAGGGGCGCGATCTCGGCTCACCCGAACCTCCGCCTCCCGGGTTCAAGCGATTCTCCTGCCTCAGTCTCCCGAGTAGCTGGGATGACAGGCCTATCCCACCATCCCCGGCTAATTTTTATATTTTTAGTAAAGACGGGGTTTCACCATGTTAGCCAGGCCGGTCTGGACCTCCTGACCTCAAGTGACCCGCCCTCCTCAGCCTCCCAAAGTGCTGGGATGACAGGCATGAGCCACCGCGCCTGGTCCTCTCTCTCTCTTTTTGAGACAGTCTCGCTCTGTCGTCCAGGCTGGAGTCCGCGCCCGCCAAGTTTGCTATTTTTAGTAGAGACGGGGTTTTCTCCATGTTGGCCAGGCTGGTCTCGATCTCCTGACCTCAAGTGATCCACCCGCCTCG